AGTAAGACCTATGGGACCACTATCATGCATCAAAAGAAGACCACTTTTCACACAAAACAATTTCACCCATAGTTAAACCCCCTCAAACGCGACAATAATGAAAACATATCGAAAAACCTCAAACACTTCAAATTATCAAATGTAAACTCTAACCTGATTTGATTTGCGAAATTGGATTTGCTCTACAGATTTCACTTTCAAGATCACCCAATTTGGATTTGCAGGTCCTCCAAAATGCTTATCCCCAAATCGCGATTTCGAATACCCAAGCCCTAACTCAGAAATTTTAATCACTGCCACTGCAACGTTCTCAGTTAATGAAAAACACTGTCACTACCACGTTACGAAGGTAAACAGCCACGTTGCACACATCAGTCCACGTTGTCAACTGGATCGTTAAATATTTAACGCCGTGACCAAAAAGGATTTAATTGGACACTTTTTACACAACTTGGGACCATATTGAACTTTTTGAAAAAGGTAGGACGAAATTGAACATTTCCCTTATAAAGAGGGACAAAAAGAGGTATTAAGCCATATATATATATAAATATATTCATTTAAATTAGTGAAAAAAAATCTTTTTTGTAACAGCATATACACAAGAATCCAAATTCACATAATTCATTATCTTCATCAGCACAATGATGAACAAACTCAACAATCATTATAGGCACCACTCCAGGCAAGCTTCACCAACGTGAAATTGTTGTACTACGTATAAATTTGCATTGCGCATGAAGGAGCTCTACTACCCCGAACAACATATGAAACTAGATCGCCTTATGCATCGCTGCGAAACGCGACCTCACTAGATATTCAATGTGCTAGCGGCCTTCATCAGAGAAGGCAACACCTCCATGAAAGTGACAATACCTTCTATTCAGATCTGGTTGTGTCAAATTGGGAAACCTCTTATTACAGATAAAAAATTATTTTTTATACTGGTTATAATTAAAACTGGTATAGAAAGTTTTCTTATTTATTACAAATATATCACCGTGCTCACTTTTTATATCAATTATAATTAGAATCGATATAGAAAGTTTTCTAATTTATTACAAAAATATCAGTACGTGGAGCTCTGTGTATAACTAGAACTACTATAGAATCTTTCTTTACTACAAAAATATCACATCTCTCGTTACCTTTTATATTTGTTATAACTACAATATTATAAAAAAAGTAATATTTTATTTAAAGTTATTTCACCACTTCATTTTTTATACCTCATTAATTATAACCTGTATAAATAATAGTTATAAAAAATACTTTTACATTAGTATAATATCACTTAATAAATGAAATTCTAATTTTTGTAGTAAAATGAGACTTTTTGTTTTGTTAACTAAAATTGAAAATAAATGTGTAAAAAATATATTTTACCCTATTTTTAATTCAGCGGAATGGATATACCAGTTAAGATCAAGGCCATGAGGTTATATTTACACAAGTAGAATAAGTGGAAGCATAAAAGGAATGAATTTTGCGTTACTATTCAATCAATACAAATGTTAGAAGCAACAAAAATAATGTCTGTATAATGTGAGAAGCAACAAAAATGTTTATATGGGTAATAATTAAACTATAAAAACTGTTGATAAATCTTCAAACTCCTATAAATATATATACAATTGAAGGAAACTAAAAGTGATCGACACTGTTTTCTTCTATTTCATGAATAACCTCCAACTCAAAATTTTGACGTCTTGCCGGAACAACGGTATTTACTGTAGAAGAACCAGAAATATGAAAAGGAGAAAGGGGTGCTACTAACTCACATCCATCCCCTTCAAGCATTTGTACCACAGTTTTCATGGAAGGACGATCTGCTGGGTTCCATTGAATGCACCAAAGTCCTACAATGGCAAGTTTCTTGGCAATTTTAGCATCTCCCTCGTCCTCAAGGCTAATTTGCACATCTTTTCCTTCCACCAAGTTATGGATCCACTCTGGTTACAGAATTTGGAAACTGTCCTCAACTGATACATTTGTATTCTTTCTTCCTCCAACCATTTCTAAGAGCAACATCCCATAGCTGTAAATGTCAGACTTGTAAGACACATTACCAAAGTTCCGAGAGAAAACCTCAGGGGCAATGTACCCCAAAGTTCCCCTGGCGGCAGTCATCGACACGGTGCTCTGATTTTTGGGACACAGCTTGGCTAAGCCAAAATCAGTGATTTTTGGGACAAAAAGGTCATCTAACAAAACATTGTGAGGATTAATGTCAAAGTGAAGAATTCTATGATCACAACCAAGGTGGAGATACTCAATCCCTTTCCCAACACCAAGACCAATTTGTTGCAACTTCTCCCAACCAAGGAAAACATCCTTGTTGTTCTGTTGAACCAAGAATCTCTGCAACGACCCATTTGGAAAGAAATCGTAGACGAGAGCACGGTGGAACTCATCTGCACAGAAACCAAGCAGGCGAACAATGTTAACGTGATGAATTTTCCCAATGGCTCTCACTTCATTTATGAAATCATTTCCATTTCCCACTGTGTCTTTGAGTATCTTCACAGCAACAAGAATTTCACTAGAGAGCATTCCTTTGAACACTGCTCCATGAGCTCCTTCCCCTAAACTCTCACTAAAACCATTTGTGATTCTCTTGATGTCAGCATAAGTGAACCTGGTGGGCTTCATTGCCCTGTAATCCTCCAAGAATTTCTCTATTCGAGTTTGGTCTTCTCCTCTCTTTTCATAATAGACGTACGCATAAAACAATGCCTTGACAAGAAGCAGCAAAAGTATCAAACCAGCTACTCCTCCTGTGGGTGAAAAAATAAGTTAAACAAATGTGGTTGTTGGAATCAACAAAATAGCAAAACCATAACATAATGATCACTGTAATACTGCATACCTGCAGCAATTTGGACGATAGTTGACGTGGGAATCCTTTTTGTTCGGCAAGCATTACATTCAGTTCCACCGTTAGTACCATTCCTCCATTTACAGTTTTGGCCCTGTGCTTCACAGTATCCACAATCAGGTTTTGACCATTCCATAAAAAACTTCTCCTCATAATACGAAGACCACCATTCGACGGAAACATCTTTCAGCTTCGTGCAGGATACTAATCGTGGGTCCACAACATCTTTGTAGGATGGTAGTAGCGAAATAGGGCACGACAATGAGTCGCAACAGAAGAAGGAAACGTTCAACTTAGGAGGAGGACGACCAAGATATTTGGGGAATCGGAATGGAGAGATGGATATATTGCCGAGTTTCAAGAGTTTATCGGGAAGGCAATTTTGGGGGTCATATATTTCAATTAGCGTAGATTTGTAATCAATTTCTCTGACAAACAATTGTATTGGAAGGGTAGGCAGCTCCAGAATGGGCTTATTTTGTTGGGTGCATGACAGACCGAACTCAGGCGGGTAGTCAGTGGTGTGATTCAAGTTTTTATTTCTGAGATAAAATGGAAATTCAATGCGAACTTTGCCACATTTATCGGCGCAGTGGTTCTTGCCGGTCGCAGGATTCCCTACCAGAAACAGCAGCGTCCATAGAAGAGACAGCTTCTGAAAATTAAGCATTTTGTGGTTGATTTTCAGTTTCAGGTTATTTTCTTGTCATATCGAGTTTAACATGGTCGGATTGCGCCGGCTGGATGTACCAGAAACTCCGCCTTGTCTTACTATTCAGTAAATTCAATGACTTCTTGGTCTGAAATTTCTTTTATAAGAAGAAAATGCCAAGACGTGGTATAATTTTACATGAACAAGCTAGATAGGGAAATGACCCGCCGTTTCCTGTCCTCTGGGGCTGGTGTTTTTGGTGGGATTAATTAACATGATATTTATAGTGCATCGACTGACTGGTTTAAATTTACTTTTTATTAAAAATTAAATTTCAAGATATTAAATAGCTTTAAATGAATAACCTAGCATAATAATCCGTGTGAATAACCTTACAAATAATGTTTCAAGACTTTTGTTAAAATTTTAAATAATTTTGTTGAATTATACCGGTAATGTATTAAATGTGATTAATATATATAGATAGTTACATATTATTTAAATTGTGAATACGAGGATTTAAAAAATTATTAGCATAAGTAATTGTTTTCAAAAGTTGATACTTGATTATTTTATTATTTAGGGTTAAATATGTTTTTCGTCCCTCAACTATTAAGCGTTTTTAAGTTTCGTCCCTCTTTCAAACTTTGTTTCACTTTGATCCTTCTCCTTAGTGAAATTGTAATGTTTAGTCCTAAAAACGAACGACGTTAAATTTTGAGTGAGCTGCCTAACGGTATGCCACGTCTCATGCCATGTGCTCAATCAACTTCATCATCTTCTTCCCATCAACAGAGAGAAACCAATCTGCGAGACAACATGGTCGTCATCTCCTCCATCAACCATCACCAGAAACTTGTAGAGAACACAAAATCACAAACTAGAAGCAACCAAGAAGCACAAAAATCCATAAATCACATAACCCTAATTGCAATTTCAACCCAAATTGCGTCTCGATCTCATCCATCACCAATCACGAGCAGCTCGCATAAGGGCAGAAGCACTCTATTGTCGCCATCAACTATCGCGATCCAACCCTTCAATTAGAAAACACAAAATCCAGAGAACGCAAACCCGCGACCCTCCATTTACCATTCACGAACCTCTTCTCCTGCACACCTGCAGCAAACCAAAAACACTTAGAATCGCCACTCAAATTCACGAAGCTCTTCGCACGTCCTTCATCTCCATTGCCTTCATCACAAACCCTAATATCTCACTATCCTAATAACTAATAATGAATCCAGAAACTTTGATCACTAATACTATTGCATCAATATCAAATACAATAATTATTGAGTCTGACATCTCTTGTTTTGTCACTAGAATCAATGTTCCAATTTTCATAAAATATTTTTTCCATATGACCAATCAGGAATTTGTAGTCCTTTGAAGCAACTCATGGATCAAAATGCTCAATCTTTTAATCAAAGCCAATATGTGACATGAAAGTTGATTGGTTTATTGTGCCTTGACAATAAAATTCCCAATTTAGCCATGGACAATGCTTCCACCTCCTCACCGTTTACCACCTCTACTTCGTCCTCCAATATTATCATTCGGCAAGACAATTCTTCCTTTCCCATCATTGTTATCCTTGATGACTCTAACTACCCTCTTTGGTCCCAACTAATGGACATGCATATTGGTGCTCGAAACAAATCGGGGTACCTCACTGACACAACGACAAAACCCCCACTGATGACCCCACCTACGATAACTGGGTTACTAAGAATAAACGGGTGAAAAACTGGCTTATTGACTCCATGAGCCCCCTGTTGATGCAGCGATTTATCCGCCTTGAATCTGCCCACCAAATTTGGGATGCAGCTCTCCGCACATTCTACGATGGATTCGATGAAACTTGCCTTTTCGAACAAAACCAACGATCTTTCTCCACCAAACAACATGGTCGTCCCCTCTCTACTTATTATAATGAACTACTATCCATATTTCAAGAGATTGATCATTGTATGTCTTCTTCTGAAACCACCGTGAATGCCATGGTCCAAATGCATTCTTCCATGGCTCGTCTACGTGTTCACATCTTTCTTAGCGGCTTGGACTCTGATTTTGACCAAGTTCGTGGAGAGATTCTTCGTAAAGACCAAAAATTGGACCTTGAGAACACATATGCATATGTCCCGTGAACATCAGCAACATATCATTATGGGTCGCTGATAACGGTTAAAAAACTGTTATTTTTATACTTAATTTTTATATTAAAAACACCCTTTTTGACTTAGAAGCTTGCTTGAACTCATGTTTTTGCTTTAGTTTTGTGAATATTGAGAGTTGCAGGTGAATTTAATGGTTT